TATAGATTTCACATACAATAAACTGCTAAATCACTCTGGTAACTGGAGATTTAGAAAAAGCTGATATTTCCATGGAAACCTTCCATTTATGAACCATAAACACTGTGGATTGCTCTAGAAGATCCCAGCATTCCCACTGGTGAAGATAACTTTGTCTTCACTGGTGAGGCCAGCTTTTCCTTCATTATCCAGAAATGGAAAAAATAAACAATGTTGAGTAGCTACTATTTCTCAATTAAAAGAAGAGAGAATGATATCCGGGGACATTGTGAGTGGGTCATGAAGAACATGTAGGAGCCATGGAGTTAAAATACCACGTTAGTGTCTCGCTTTTTCTGTTCACCCCAACCTATAAAATAGCTAGGAAAGACTTCTCTTAACCGTAATATACTCATGAAGGGGATATGAGCAGGAATTTTAATCCCTCTTGATGGGCCTGTGTATCTTCTCCTTCATTCACCAGACACTGTCTCACATGGGATGTATATGGTTAGAAATGCCTCATTCCTAATTCCGTAGAGAACAACTTGGCTTTTGACGTACATGTTGTCAAATAGCCAATTAAAGAAGATTTTTATTTTTCAAGTGGTGTTAGGGTGTTGCCTAGATAAAATATCTGTCATCCATCATCTCATACTAGCACATCTGTTGCCTGGATTTAACTGAACCCAAAAATTATAAGGTTGTTAGGACAGCATATTTGGAATGGGATGAAAAACAAAGCAGGCCACTCATGGAGGCTCTATAGTCTTTATTACTTATGGTGTTAGCTTTAAAAAAATGACAGCTATAGTTCAGACAGGTCCTTTCATATTTAAAAAGGAAGTCTTAAAGTATCAATTAATTTTAATGAGCGGTCTCTCTACTGATATGTACATATATATCCCTAAAGACATTCCAACTGTACTTATCAACATCTGGAAGCAGTATTGGGCAAACCACATGCTTAGCTTCTAACTTCAAAAAGCGTTTTTTGAAAGGAATCTTTTGTAAATTCTGGAAGGAGCCTGTGAATAGTTACCAGAAAAACATTTCAATATATTATAGTGTTTGCGTTATTAGGGAGTCAGATGCCTAAAACTCAATTCTGGAGCGATTTGGAGCTTAGAAAACAAGAGAAAAATATCAGCAAGAATGCAAGTAGATTAGAAGAGCTGAATATACTATTATATTCACTGAAGGGCTTCCTTCCTTCCCTCCCTCCCTCCCTTTCTCTCCCCTTCCCTTCCTTCCCTCCTTTCCTTTTTCCCTCTCTCCTTCCCTTCCTCCCTTCCTTCCTTCCCTCTCTTTCTCTCTCTCTCTTTTTTTTTGGCTAAAATGTCAGCAGCTATATAGTTAGCACGTAGAGATAAAGTTGACTAATGCTTTGACCATTCAGAGGAATAGGAAACTTTTATTGACAAGAAAAACTTTAAAAATACTGATCTGCATATTGAGAAGCATGGGAGAAGTTGATGGGAAAGGAAAAAGAGGAGAGGAAGAAAGAAAAAAGAGAAAATATGCCTCACAGGAAAGATAACACCAACAAAAGTGGCAGACACTAGCAGACAAAGTGCTGAGACTAGGGTGGTAAGAAACAGATAAGGTAGAACCATGTTGTTAACGATGTACATCAGAATCCATGAATTCACTAGTTTATTTATTCCAACCATATTTATTGAGTTAGTACTATGTTCTGGGTACTAGGAAAATCCTAGAAGCTTCACAGGTAGATAAATATTGTCCCTGTCTCTGACCTCCAGGTGCTCGTTGATGGGTAAGAGTGGGAGAGTGTGGATACATGTTATATGTGCAATGCCAAAGGCATGAAAATGATACAGTGGGAGCTCAAAGGAGTAGCTTGTCACCTTTCTTTCTTTCTTTCTTTCTTTCTTTCTTTCTTTCTTTCTTTCTTTCTTTCTTTCTTCTTTCTTTCTTCTTTCTTTCTTTCTTTCTTTTCTTCTTCTTCTTCTTCTTCTTCTTCTTCTTCTTCTTCTTCTTCTTCTTTTTGCAAAAGAGGGAAGGAAGCCTAGAAAAGCCTCTGTAGAAGAGGTGACAGTTGAATTGAGCCTTAAAGGATATGTGCTTCTTTACAGGTTCTAGCATAGTCCAATGGAAACATTCAAAATAAGAATTAATCCCCTACCAACCAGTGATCATAATGGTGCCAGAGCCATCTAAGATGAGTGTTTATGTTCAGTACAACTCATATGTGCTTTAAGACTTAACTCAGTGACTCCCTCTACTCGGTGAACCATTCTTTGATCGCCTGGCTTGAACTGTCCTTATTTGAATTCTCATAGTACTTAGTACCTTGGACTGAGTTTAGACTAGGAGCCACCCCGAGATCATATGACTTTCTCCTGCACATAGTTTTCCCCCACTACTCAATTGTTAATTTCCCAAGGTTCTTGAAACATGTTTCTAGTAAAGTATGGCATATGACATTGAATTTATAGTTACAAAACGAGTGAATAAATATAGTAAGGCCCTTGTCACCTCAAAGGATTATTCTTTGATTATCTGAAAAATGTAATACTCATGTCTAACCCCTTCTGTAAATTCTCAGAATTGTGAATGTAAGGCTCAGCCTGCATCCTAGCATGGCTTTATCTCACTACTGAAAAATAAGCACATCTGAAAGTTAGGGAAGAGTAGTGTCGATATTGACTTTGGATCATGTATGCTTTCAGGAAAATGTTATCTGTGAGTAGGAAGTAATGGATTTTGTGTGGGAGGTGGGAATTGTGGTGCAACTCCAGCCCTAGACTGCTACTCAGGGTTAGAGTGGGAATCACAATGGTACGAAATTCATTTGTGAAGGTTACCTCTGAGTTGTCCCTCCTGGTGAACTACTGGTGGAAAACAAGTCAGTTATATTATCTAAATAGATGGCATTGACTCTATAATGTGAAGTTGTGAGATGGAATGTTGCCTCATTAAATTCATCCATTAGCCAGTCAATGTTGATAAACAGGAGAATATCCAAAGACCCTAGGTTTAAATTTTTGTTTGCATTATAGAATTTGTATTTTCATCTGGTGATTCAGGGCTCAATAGTTCTCTCTTGGAAGTTCACCTTACCTGTCTCATAAATTTTCTGTGTGTGCTGAGGTATGTTTTTTCTGGTAATTGGGAATGTAGGTCAGAGTGTTTGTGAGAACTACTCTGCAAATGGAAAGTGTTGCAGTGTATATTATGATAGATATTATTATTGCCATTACCTCTGCCTACTAATTACCTGAAGACTAGTTCATTCACCAAAACCCAACTTTTTAATTGAGATTACAAGGAATTTATAACCTTATCTGACTAGCCATCTTTTTTTTTTTTTTAATTGCCTTTTAATGTTTACATGGTCACAAGTACCAGGTGCAAAATTATAACATACAGATGAATAGGTTACACATATAAAAAGTGATCCTCTCTGGATTGTTCTACATTTCTTTAGGAAGGATTGAGAGGAAATAACAGGACATGCAAGTATGAAGTAATTTTAATTTATTTAAAATTAATTGAAGGAGAAAGGAAACTTCAAGTTTTATAAAATAAGGTCCCTTTGGAGATTAGTTTTGGTTAAAAGCATTTTTTAAAAATTGTGTTGTCAGATAAAGGAAATAAGGAATAAGTAAATTCTTTAACAGTTTTGTCTTAAGAAAAAATGCTTACAGACTCCAACTTAGACTTTTAAAATACAAGTATCAACTTCCCAACTAAAAGGAAAAAAGAAGAAATTACTCTTTCCTGAGAATGTGATAATGCCTTAGTAAGCAATGCCCCAAAATATTTTAATTTTTCAGAAAAAAACCCTGAAAGATATAAATAACTCTGTTATTCAGATAATCAGAAATCATAGAATAGATTGAAATAAATATACTGGTCCTTTAGATTGGTTGAAAATCATCATTGGGTTCATTAAAAATTTTTAGAGATTGTAGGAAGATACACTAGTATTTTCTAACATGTCAGTATCTTAGAGATACTCTGCATGAAGAAGTATTTGTAGTTACTGGACATAATAAAGCAGAATTATTCTAATCTTTCAAAGAACAAAATTGGAATTACTATCCTGGTGTTAGAATTTATAACTTAGCAAGAAGCTGTAACTATGCTTTCCCATAGTGAAATCCTTGATTAGAGAAATACGCAAATTATGGACTACAGAAATTATTCAAGATGTGTAATGCTAAGAAATAGAAATAAAATTTTCTTTATCAAACCATAGCATGATGACATTAATTTGATATTACATTTCTATTTTATTATTTACTTATTTGAGAGTGTGAGAGAGAATCTCCAGCAGACTTGTCTCGGGGCTTAATGTCACAACTCTGAGTTCATGACCTGAGCTGAACTCAAGAATTGGACACTTAACTGACTGAGCCACCCAGGTGCCCCAACGTTTCTATTTTAAAAGTTAGGCATTATCGGTAGTTTTGCTGTTTTACAAGTGGAATGAAATTCATTAAGTTAGACATTAAAATATGTGTTTCACCAGCAGAACTCCACTCTGAGCTGAAAATTTAGTTGATTTATAAACAACATTAATGGAATATTAGCTGTTTCATTATGCTTATTTAATAAGGGAAACAATTAAAATATGTACCTACTAAAACAGTGACTGTTGGGGAGTTAAAAAATTTCCATTTAGCTGTTTAGACAGCCAGATTTGTCAGTGTCTTGTAAGATATAATATTTTATTTCCCTGGTGCTTATGTATATATGGATATTATTGATCCATATAATTCATTATCTCTATACAAAGGAGAAAAACAAAACAAAAATACTGACTAGTAAGACATGTTTGCCAACATACACATTTTTATAGGGTTACATAGCTTATTGTTAAATATTTAAAGCACGAACTAGTTTTTAAAGCTTGGAAGTGCTAGTTATCCATTCTGAAATGACATTTCTCATGATTTTACTCCTGGTCACTCATTTTCATTTAAGCAGGACAACATTTCTTTGAACTCTATAGGTGAAGAAAATAGAATATGGAATCAGAATTCTCCTTGAGTTGATAAAGGTCAAGATGTAGTTAGCTGGGCAGGAGCCCACAATACTCTAATGGAGATCAGTTTGCTGGTTCTACACTAGCAAGAGCAGAGTATTTATCTTGACTCAATGGAAAGTGGATAAAAGCAGTACCATCACTATGACCTAGAAAAGGAAAAAATGTAAACCTATTAGCATGAAGACCATTCAGAAACATTTTCTATGAACTATGGGAGGACCAGCCTCATCATATTCCTGCTTACTGATCCACATCTGCTGGAATGTAGACAGGCTGGCCAGAATGGAGCCCCCAATCCAAACAGAATACTTCCTCTCTGGGGGAGCTATGATCTTGATTTTCATGGTGCTAGGTGCCAGGGTTATGATTTCCTTCTGCATCCGGTCAGCAATGCCAGGGTACATAGTACTGCCTCCAGACAACACGATGTTGGCATATAGATCCTTGCGAATATCTACATCGCACTTCATGATAGAGTTGAAAGTTGTCTCATGGATCCCACTGGACTCAATGCCCAAAAAGGAAGGCTGGAAAATGGATTCAGGGCATCGAAAGCGTTCATTCCCAATGGTGATCACTTGCCCATCAGGAAGCTCATAGCTCCTTTCAAGCGAGGAGGATGCAGCAGCACTGACCATCTCTTGCTCAAAGTCCAGGGCCACATAGCACAGCTTCTCTTTGACATCACGAACAATCTCCCGCTCGGCTGTGGTGGTGAAGTTGTAGCCTCGTTCTGTCAGAATCTTCATGAGATAGTCAGTCAGGTCTCTGCCAGCCAGATCCAGGCGTAGAATGGCATGAGGCAGGGCATAACCTTCATAAATGGGCACAGTATGAGTAACTCCATCCCCGGAATCCATCACGATGCCTGTGGTCCGCCCTGAGGCATAGAGGGACAGCACAGCCTGGATAGCCACATACATGGCCGGTGTATTGAAGGCCTCAAACATGATCTGAGTCATCTTTTCCCGGTTGATCTTAGGGTTGAGAGGTGCCTCGGTGAGGAGGATGGGATGCTCATCCGGTGCCACACGGAGCTCATTGTAGAAAGTGTGGTGCCAGATCTTCTCCATGTCGTCCCAGTTGGTGACCACTCCATGTTCAATGGGATACTTAAGGGTCAGGATGCCTCTCTTGCTCTGAGCCTCATCCCCCACGTAGCAGTCCTTCTGGCCCATGCCAACCATGACCCCCTGATGCCGGGGACGCCCTACCATGGAGGGGAACACAGCCCGGGGGGCATCGTCACCACCAAAGCCTGCCTTGCACATCCCTGACCCATTATCTACCACCAAGGCAGACAGCTCATCATCAGTCATGGTGCTGGCTGGAATCTTCCAGACAGGTGAACAGAAGTTAAATATAGAGTAAATAGCAGACTACGGTGTCAAGGGAGAGAATGAACAGGCTGAAACACTCTAGAACTGCCTTCGGAGAGGGGATCCTGTGCTGAGATGATAGGTATTTAAAGGTACACACTGGCCCCACCCATGTCCTGTCCCACCAGTTCCCAGCATTTCTGGGTGGGGTTGCCTTTGAGGTATTAATAATGATGATGATGATTATGTAAATCATTAGTAGACCTTCCTTCATAAAGAGAAAATTGGCTACCAAGTGGCCAAATCTGAGGTTACTGTAATTAGGCAACCCACACATGGCTGTCAGCATGCATTGGCTCAGTCTCTAGATAACAATGATGCTGCAGTGGGGGGTGTCAAAGCAAGATGAAAGAAAGCTAGTGTGAGGTATGGGAGCACTGCTGGGAGGACCACTCCCTACTCCTCATTTTACCCTCTGGGTCCATTTTCTCCACACTAGTTCTAACTTTTCATTCTTAATATATTGTTCTTATGAGGAGCCCAATGCTGAAAACTTCACCTTTTGAAGATCTTCTTTCCCACTAAGGTCCTAATCCCACAGGATGTCGTCATGACTGGAATTATTTTAATGGATGAAAATAATAAATGGCCAAGGGTGGCCTGACAGCCGTTTGTGTTGTGCAAAATCTAGGGCTATTTAATAGACTTCTTATCCATCAGAGAACGACTAAGAGCAATAAAGTGATCACTAAAGTAACCCACTTCAGATTTTCTTTCTTGATATAAATTCCTAACAACAAAATTATATTAAGCACTTACTATGCCCAGAACTTGGGTTATTGGGTCCATGTTGACTAAATAGAGGCTCAATGACTAACTGTGTTACATGATTTATTAGATAAAATGCAGATTATAAAAATTTTATTTGTAATAACTCTTTAGTTGTACAACAATGAACATAATTAAGCGATAAGATAAATTTTAAAATGATGTATTTGAGCTGATCTTTAAAACATTTGATCTTCAAGATTCATGTAATGTATTATAACATCATTCCTCTCTATGGTTATGAAAATGTACATACTTAGAATAGTATTAGCTTTCCTTCGATTTTAGGATATACAATATTTACACCCTGATCCTTTCCTAGTAATAGTTTGTTTGCATTTTATTTTCAATATAAAAATATAGATGGTCTAGTAAAATGTGTATCTAGAAACAGCGATTATGAAAGTTCATTACTTTGCTCCCATTGTGCTATGTAAATAGGGGATAATCTCCCTGTCATCTCTTCTAAAGCGAGGCAGTTTTTCATGCCCACATCTGAGTTCTCTGTAATCACCTTCATTTTGGTTAATTAATGAATTAATTAATTGTCATTTTGTAACAAGTAGCAGCAGCCCTGTAGTACTCGACAGAAGTGTACCTTCTAGTTCAAGGCCAGGAGAACTAGCTGGCTGGTGTCTTTGCCCACGAGCCTCTTGGAGAATCATGGTAACACCAGGCTGTGAGTGTCCAGTCCTCGTCTTTGTGCACAGCTTGAGAGAGAATTATGGAATTACTTTTCTCTGTGTTTTCCCAGCCCTTTTCCTTTAATGTGCTCTCAGAACCTTCCTGCTGACAATCAGTTATGGTAGAATGTGTTTCACTACAAAATCCATAGTTTTGCTTTTTTTCTGACCAGGATTGTTCTATCCCTTAATTTTTTCTGTAACTGCAAAATCAATTCCTCCTTCAACAAAATTAAAGAACTCACCCTCAAACCTTCACACTGCATGGTTTTGTGTACTTCCTTTTCATGTAGCACAAGCAAGCTTTTGATTAAATGGTATTTTATGGCTATAGGATGATACGTCTGGAAATGCCTGTTTTTGTTTTTTAGAGCCGTAGCAAAATGCATGCACATCCTACAAAACTGAAAAGAAAACACATTGCATTTAGAACCAGTCACCATTTATGACTCTCCAATCTGGAATACAGACCGAAGCCATGTCAGCGGAGAAGCCCATATGGTACCAAGTGCAGCCTTTAGAGTCTTTTACTGTAGTGCTCTCCTTAGAGTTGCCTTTGAGCTGAGACTTGTCTGGTAATGAGACCACACAGCGTAATTGATGCTTGAGAGGGAGGCTGATGTGTGGTTTTGCTGGAAGACCTTCTAACCTCTGTTTTAATTTTGGTGTTCCAGAAGAATTTTTCATCAATTATATATTCTTAAAATAAGCTTAAGTTCTTTTACTTAACCTCCAATAATACAAAAGGGACATATCATAATTTAGCAATCATCTAAAAATATCATCTGTTGGACTACTTAAAATTTTGAAAAGTAGTAAGAATTTGTATGAGTGAGATATAGGAGATAGATTTACAAATACGGGGCTCTAGGGGGCTGTTCCCAAAGGTAATAGGTCTAACTGACTGGAATTTACGAATGCTTAGTTAGTTACCTACATCTAAAACCCATGGGGGCCTTCATGACGAACTTTTAGAAGCCTAGAATATCATTTTCTTTCACTTTGGCCTAGTTTGACTATTACACAGCTATACAAACCCCGAGTAAGGCATGGGCATGAGCGTTATATGTAAGGATAACAAGCTGAGGTGGTTTGAAGCTGTGCCCTAATCCTCATCACAAGCTTCTCATGATCTTTCCTTTTCCTAGTAATCTTGGACTTATTCAATCCACAAATCTTTACTAAACCTGCTGGGCACTGGTGATATATTGGTGAATAAAAGCTTGCCCCTATTTTTATAGAGCTTACTGTCTTGTGGGTGAAAGCCACATCAGAGCAAGCTAACTCTGGTCGCTGCTCATGGATACGAAGGAACCATCTTGTGTTCTGATGGGCACTGCCTATGCTGCACCAGTTGTTAAATGTTTTGAATATCATTCCCCAATTCACAGGTAACAGGGCACAATGTGGTTGATGTATACAGAGAAGGAGCACAGAGTATATAATGGCGGAGGGACGAGCCCTTGAACCTGGGTTAGGAGGAGGGAGAAGGAGGGGCCGGGACCCCTGGGCTGAATCTCAGAGGGTGGGCAGGAGGTTGCTGGTGGCTAGTGGAGGGAACATTGCAGCATGAGTACCACCAACTTGGATAAAATCAGAAAATCCAGAATGTATTTTGAATTAGTTATCTTCACAAGGATCAGCATGGTTTTGGAATGGGAGTCTGAATCTTAAAAGGCAGGGGGAAGGGAGGAGAACTCTAGAATTGGATGTAACTTTACCTGTGGGCACAGAAGATATGATTAGGCGCTCCTCACACATGTGCCCATAGAGGCCATGCCTTAGTGATTATCTCCTAACCCCAGACTCTCATCTCTTAACCATACTGCTGAGATTGAGAGTATTGATGAGGTCCTTTCCTGCCACCACCCTGGGGATCCAATTTAGAACATTGAGGTCAGCTACCTTCTTCCTTGGTTTTTATTTGATTCTCTCCTTGTGACCCACATTCTTTTTCATCCTTTGTAGCTTTTGCACACATGTCTACCTCTCCCAGTGTGCAGATTGCTCTGAGAAGCTCCTTCATCTGTGCTCTGTTCTTAGTGGAGATTTGATACTTGTTTAATAAATTAATATGTGGATGGGTAGGTCATAAGATTTTTTAATTACATGCTCTGATCTATTCACTGATAGGCATAGCTGACCATGTTTTACAAGTTAAAAAATACATTTATTTTATGGTTAAATACTATTTTATTTATATTTCATATTGATGAAATGACTTAATCATATCTTAGGGACTGTAAATGTTCACTCAGAGAAGTCTCCAACATAGGGTTTCAATAATCTCTTAAAATAAATCCGCCAATAATAGTTACTGGTAATAGTTTGTAGTGATTTGCTGTTTGTTCTAATATATAGAACTTTGTAAAAATATGAAAAATTAAAAAGTGTAACAACCTCTCACCCAAATAAAACCTGACTGACTGACTTTTTTAAGGCAGGTGTGGGCATGAAGGAGAAAGAAGTAGCTTTGGTGATGGGCATATTGGCCAGTTCCAGGAGGCACTTGGAAGGATAATCTGAATGCAGGAATTGTTTCTGTGGTGTAGCTGACCACAGATCCCCAGCCCCCAACCCATGGTAGACTACTTTCTGTGAACAAGACCAAATTCTACTCCCCAGGGTGAGAGGCTCCCCACTGACGTTTAAGGACACTGGATTTCATGGATTTGGATTTTATGACCGTACTTCCTAATTCTTAACTTTTGAAATATGCCATAGGTTGGCTTTTGGCTAGTTTGATGTGTAAGAAAGTTGTTAAGAGGAGGAACGGATTCCTGTGTCGTGGATGAACCTCTGAAGATGTCTTGACTGCTGATGTGAAGCACATATCATCTAAGACTGAGACAAGCTCCAGGTTGTTTTCTGACTCTGAAAGGTGGAGAGAGTAGCAATAAAAACTGTCATTACTGGGTCACCTGGGTGGCTCAGTTGGTTGATCATCCAGCTCTTGGTTTCGGCTCAGGTCATGATCTCAGGGTGGTGAGATCGGCTGGTGTCGGGCTCCCTGCTGGGCATGGAGCCTGCTCGGGGTTCTCTCTCTCCTCCGTCTGCCCCTCCCTGTCCTAAAAACAACAATAACAACAACAACAACAAACTGTGATTGCTGATGACTTAGTGTGTACCAGTTTCTGTGCTGAATGTTCCACTTGCACACACCAGTTCTTTAATCCTCATGACAATCCTTTTTTTAAAATAACTTTTTAAAAGATTTTATTTATTTATTTATTTATTTGAGAGAGAGAGAGCACAAGCAGGGCTGAGGGTCAGCGGGAGAAGCAGACTCCCAATGTGGGGCTTGATCCCAGGACCCTGGGATCATGACCTGAGCTGGAGGCAGATGCTTAATGACTGAGCCACCCAGGCGCCCTCCTCATGACAATCCTTACAAGGCACCTAGGATTATCATCCCCATCTTTGAAGGGTTAAACTAAAGCTTAACGAGTAAACTGACCAAAGGTACACAGTGCTAGAGGCAGTGTCAGGATTTGAACCCAAGC